AACTACTTAAATCCAGGCATCAAGGGGAGGAGTCAAACCGAGTCCCTCCCCCGCTCCTGGGAACTTTTATCATTCCAGACGTGATCAAGACTGGAGTTTGAACCGCAGGGAGTAGCTAGCTGCACGCCCACCACTTTCCTCATGGTGTCGGTGACCAGAACCGTGTTTGGAGAGCTGCCCTCGGGGGGAGGGACAGTGGAGAAGTTCCAGCTTCGGTCAGACCGGCTGACTGTGGACATCATCTCCTGGGGCTGCACGATCACTGCTCTGCATGTCCCAGACAGGCAGGGGAGAGCCTCAGACGTGGTGCTCGGCTTTGCCGAGTTGGAAGGTGGGTCGCTTCCTCCTGCCCAGGGCTGCCGAACGGTCCCAGGCCCGTACACACTCCCGATCCTGCGGTCCTTCTGGCCACTCGCGGGATTTGACAGTCTAATCTGGAAGCGCGAGAATGGGCTAATGGTAGCGGCTAACAGTTGTGTGGTTGGAACAAACCGGATCGAATGCAAATGGCTGTAGGACTTGGCCTCCCTTAAGTAGTCGGACTAGTCACTGTTCACGAGGAAGTCAGCTGAGAGAGACCAAACTCCTTAGAGCGATCTTCAAACTGTGGGCCACAGGGTGTGTGGAGCCTTCTGCTCCCTTGTGTTTTTCTCCACCCTCCATCGGATTTTCTTTGCGGTCTCCTTCAGCAGAAATGCCTCAGAATGTAGGCCCGGTGTAAACTCACCAGAGGGCTTGGCTACTGTGGTCAGTGTGGGACACAGTTCCCATTTACTCAGGAACATGATCTTAATGAAAGGGATATAGCCACTAGTCTGGAAATACGGCCTCCTAAGACAGGGACATAATCATTACATCTGTTGGGCAATTCAGATGCCTTTTTATGTTTTGGATGGGGTCTCGTGGCCTTATCTGGCCCGCATCTCACTATGTGGCTAAGGCTGGCCTGGAACTCCTGATAGTCCTGCTTCCAATTCACAAATGTAACAGTCAGCAGTTTTACCCTAACTCATGCAGTTAGTACTCTGTTGATGCAGTACACTCACTCAACAAGATAGACAAGGCTCACTCTCAACTTGCAGTTTAGCTGGGGAGACAGATTTTAGACCCACAATTACCAAGTAAAGTCACTGGATTGCAGTTTGATTTGCAGAAGAAAAGTGTGCATCTTGCCATTCCTTAGCATTGCATGTAACCAGACAGAAAGCAAAGTCTGAAGTAAAACTGGCAAATGGGAACAGAATTAGTCTGTTTTGCTAGGAGGTAAGGTGTAGACCGATTTTGTACCACAAGAGGGGGTTTGAGGTTTTCCTTTTGGTGTGTCTTTCTACCTACTTGGTTCTTCAGATGTTTAATTTGGCTCTTGGTTTGGGGTCAGCAGGAAAACCCTGTTTTTCAAGCAAAATAGATGTGTTCCCCATCCTTTTATTAAAAGGCATTATAAGAGTATTGCTGAGGCTCCTGTTAGCTCACCTCTGGCTCTCTCTCTCTCTCTCTCTCTCTCTCTCTCTCTCTCTCTCGTTTTTTAGAGACAGGGTTTCTCTTTCTTTGTGTGTCTTTGGCTGCCCTAGAAATCACTGTAGACCCGGCTGGCCTTCTAACTCACAGAGATCCGCCTGCCTCTGCCTGCTGAGTGCTGGTATTAAAGGTGTATGCCACAACTGCCTGGCCTGTCTTTATGTCCTTATTGCCCTGTAGCCATCCACAGGTTATTTACATTCCCTCTATAGCCCCCCCAGCAGAATTTCTTTGGTAGCTTAGTTGAGGCTGTTGGCAAGGGACAGACTGTGGGAAGATGTGGAGCCTTGAAGGTGAACCCCAATTTCTCATTTGTGTCCAGACATCTTCACAGTTGGAAGGCCGGAGGGCAGGTGTGTGATGGAGGAGGAGGCTTTAGAGCCAGTTTGCTGAGTCACTCATCTTTGCTGATAGCATAGCCCATTTCTGGGCTGAAATAAATCCCAAAGAGATTACAGTGGAGTGGAGGGCGAATCTGATCCATAGAATTCTAGAGCCAGTAAGAAAATTAGAGGTGATGGGTGGTACCTGCTGTTAATCAGTCTCTGCCTGGTCACCATGCCAAGGAGCACTAGCCACCACCTTATAGAGACTACAACTGCCCTTGCTCCTGGCCACTTTTAGTTTCGAGATGAGAGTCCCTTGCACCTGAAATAAGATCACAAGATGTCTTTGGAGTCCAGATGAAATGTGAGTTGAGGTGACATCCCACTGGGGTGGCACCAGTTTCTTTACAAGCATGGAAATACCAATTGTGAGGTTATTTATCTTAGTTTGGGGTGCCTATTGTAGGCTCAGTGAAAGAATTAGCCTCACCTAGTCTCTAGACAAAAGGCATTGGCTCTCCTGGGATTAGAGTAATTTAGCAGGTCCTTTGTTAGGCTCCCTGGTGCTTGAGAAGGCTCTGGAGCACTGGTTCTCAACCTTTGGATTGCATATCAAATATTTGCATTAGGAGTCATAACAGTAGCCGAATTATACTTATGAAGTAGCAATGAAATAATTTTATGGGGTGGTCACCACAACATGAGGAAATGTATTAAAGGGTTGCAGCGTTAGGAAGGTTTCAAACCACTGGTCTATAGCATTTTCTTATCAAGATGCATCACAGCTTCACCAAATCAGAACTTTTAAAATATTCTTGATGTATCTATCAAGATGGGCAGTTTCATTCCTGTGCTATAATTTGATACTGAATTATTTTAAAAGGAGAGAAACACTATTTTCAAAAGAGAGGTTGAAAGGAAAACAAGTGTAGGTTATTAATATTAAGTGCTTTCTGAGATGTTAGCTGGCCTCAAGATTATGGCAGAGGAAACCTAGTTCCCTTTGTAGAGTCCTGATTTTCAGGTTTTCATAGTGTTGTGAAGATAGGCATTAGCATATCACAACAGGAAGTGTATTATCTCAATTGTAAAAGTATAAAATGGCTCTCTGCTACTACCTTGGTTGATTTTAGTGTATTGAAATCGTCTTAGGTGCAGAGTTAGTGACACACACCTTTAATCCCAACACTCAAGAGGCAGAGGCAGGTGGATCTTTGTGAGTTTGAGGCCAGCCTGGTCTGCAGAGGGAGTTCCAGGACAGCTATGGCTGTTACACAGAAAAACTGTGTCTCAAAACAAAAGAAAAAAAAAAAACATTTTAGAGTTGGTTTGGTGGCACCTAATGTATGTAGCAAGTTCTGGGATAACTGGGGATACATAGTAAGACCCTGATAATGGAACCATCAAAGTGGCACACTGGGTAAAGGTGTTTGCTGCCAAGGATCCAAGATGGATTCCCAGGAGCCACATGGTGGAAGGAGAGACCTGATTACTGTGTCCTCTGACCTTCACATGCATACATGCAGTGCCTGAAAACACACACACACACACACACACACACACACACACACACACACACGTAAATAATTGTAGTTTGATTTTTTTTTTAAGATTTTATTTATTTATTATGTATACAACATTCTGCTTCCATGTATATATGCACACCAGAAGAGGGCACCAGATCTCATAAGGGATGGTTGTGAGCCACCATGTGGTTGTTGGGAATTGAACTCAGGACCTCTGGAAGAGCAGCCGGTGCTCTTAACCTCTGAGAATCTCTCCAGCCCATAATTGTAGTTTATTAAGTTCGATTGTGTAAGTATACATAAACAAACTGAGCAAATAATTTGAAGTGAATGAATTTACCTTGTTTTAGAAATGTTTTGAGCTATGAGTAAGGGCTAAATGTTGGTAATTATGTGAAATGTGTCTCTTTTGTAACTGCTAGTCTCCCAGAAGGATTTTTCCATCAAACTGCTTGATTGATTGCCATGAGCCGAGTTCAGAATGGTTCAATTTCTCTCTGGGAAAAACATCTTTCTTCTGTAGAATTCTAAAGAGGGAAATTATAGTTGTAGCCTGAAAACAGTAAGGAATGTCTCCTGTGGGTTTTCCTGCCCTTTCTTATCATCTTGTGTGACTCACCAACAGTCATTATCACTTCTTTCAAAGCCTGTGAAAGGAGATTTGCTTATAAACCACAGGTATAAACAGCCTACCCATACATACAATCAACGAGCCTCCTTCCCATTCATTTCCCCCCAGTTACCACCAAATAACCAGCTATTACTGCTGTGACAGCCATTATGGGAAGAATAAAAAAAAAAAATACCCTTGATGCTTTGAAGTATGGAGTTGTAGTTCAGTGGGGTTGGAGTTCACTTGACTGTCAGCAAACAAGCAGTGCTGAGGTCCAAGGGCTGGTTTGGGATGTAGCCCAGTCAGTAAAGTGCCTGCCTAATGTAGTTTTAAAGACTTGAATTCCCATATAGTGCAGACCTTTAATCCCAGCATTTGGGAGGCAGAAGCAGGCAGATCACTGTGATTTTGAAGTCAACCTGGTCTACAGAGGGAGTTCCAGGACAGCCAAGGCTATACAGGGAAACCCTGTGTCAAAAACAAAAAACAAACAAACAAAAAAAAACAAAAACAACTTGAATTCCATCCCTAGTGCTGTATGAAAACAAGGCATTGTGGTGTTTTCCTATAATTCCAGCACTTATGGGGATAGAGACAGGAGGATCAGAAGTTCAAGGTCATTCTCATCTAGGTTAGTTTCAAAACAAAACAGCAAAAAACTCCAGGTTTTGGGAGGCAGAGAGTTCTGATCTACAAAGAGAGTTCCAGGACAGCCAGGACTGTTACACAGAGAAAGCCTATCTCGGAACAAACAAACAAAACCTAGGTTTTAATGAGGGAATGGAGACAAAAGAGTTCTGGTTAAGGACTGAAGATTGATATTGCAGATGCCCAAGGATGCCCTTGTTGGAACGTTAAGAAGTCCTGATTTAAATCAATGCTTTGTTAACGCTGTGTGATCTTCAGTGAGTTGTTTAGGGCTCCAGACCTGTAGTGTATGTATCTGCCCCTGTCTGTCCATGTGAGCAAAGTCTCTCAGTGAGAGAACTTTTTTTTTTTTTTTTTTTTTGGTTTTTCGAGACAGGGTTTCTCTGTGTAGCTTTGGAGCCTATCCTGGCACTCGCTCTGGAGACCAGGCTGGTCTCGAACTCACAGAGATCCGCTTGCCTCTGAGAGAACTCTTAATCGTTATCATCACTTTTCCTTTATATATATATATATATATATACATATATATATATATAATATATATATTTGAATTACAAACTAGATTGAATTACATGATGATCCCAGTTCCCTTCTCCCTCCCTTCCTCCCCTATCACCCCTCCAACTAAAATCCTACCTATCATATGCACTTTTCCTTCTTTTGCCCCTAAATAGCTTCTTTCACTCTGCTAGACTTTTTATTCATTTAATTTTGCTTATTCTGGTACTATGTCATGGAGATAATATGTAAGTGATTGTCAATTCAAGTTGTTTTCTTACAGCCTAAGAACAGTAGTTCAGTGGGTGGCGCTTCTGAGGGAAAGTAGGGAGTAATTTTCCTTAGGAGTAATTTTCCTTCAGACTTTAGAAGGGCCTTCCGGCAAAGTCATAGGCTGTGTGATATGGTGGCAGGGGAGTAGAAGGGCTGTATTGCACCATGAAGCACTTACTAATTTATTCTGGCTCAAGAACCAGGGAAAACTACTCTACTCTTTCAATTGGGCAGTTGAGTTCACTGTTAGACCTAGGAACTTTGACCTTTTGATGGTAAACAATATTTTCTGCATTTCAAAACCCTTTCAGTCATGCCCACTTCAGGATCTGAGCTTGTCATTTTTCACAGTCCTGATTGGCTGGAAAGGCTTTGTGACACTTGATGCCTTTGTTCTGTGAAGGGTTCTCCAGAGACAACCAGAGAAATGTTTTCTTGGTCCTAATGGTTTCATTCCTAGAAACTGTTCATCCAAACTGAGGGGGGGGGGAGGGGGGGGGGGGCGGGGGGGGGGGGGGGGGGGGGGGGGTCACTGTTGAAAGAAGAGGTCCCCAGTGAAGGTATTCTGACATGCTCATGAGCAGGAGACTTGCTGACTCACATGCAGCTGTCTCCAGCACTGCTTGTGGGGGGAGGTCCCGTGCATTTATCAGATACATCAAGGTATCTCTGAAAAACAGATACAACCAACCTGTTTTTACACACAGAGTTTGTTTGGTTTTACTGTTGTTATTTCTTTTGGCCTCCTCATACACAAGAAGAAGAAGAAGAAGAAGAAGAAGAAGAAGAAGAAGAAGAAGAAGAAGAAGAAGAAGAAGAAGAAGAAGAAGAAGAAGAAGAAGATTTGGGATAGGATAGGGGATTACATTAGTACTAAAGGTGTTTAGACTTTTTCTAGTCATTGCCTAATAATTATTTATGTAATATTTATAAATGTTAAGTATTGTATGTTATCTGTGACTTAAAGCATATGAGAAGGTCTGGAGAGATGGCTCAGCAGTTAAGAGCATTGGCTGTTCTTCCAGAGGACCTGGGTTCAATTCCCAGCACCCCCTCAAAAAAAAGTATGAGAGAGAATATTCATAGATTCTATGTAGATGCCTCACTATTCTCTACGAGGATGTGAACATCTGCAGATTTTGATGTCTCAGAAGGGTGGGTCCCCAGTGGAACAACCTCCCCTGGGATACTGGGGAGAACTGGTAGGTGATGATGCGCAAGAGCATGGACTCAGAGGGTGTGGTGTCACATACCAATAATCCCAGCAATTGAAGTAGAAATAGAATTACAAGGCCCAACTGGGCTGTGTAACATGATCCTTCCTAAAAAAGAGAAACAGAGACACATCAACTCTGGAGCCAGACTTTCAAGATTGAAGGCTAGGTTTTATTGCTCGATCGTGTTTGGGGGCAAAGTATTTAACCTCTCTGTGAAACAGGGATAATAAGAGTATCTCCCTTCCTTGATGAAGTTCTAAGGGTGAAATGCAGAGTGTCTGGGACTTAGACATTGCTTGGTGATTGTTAGCAATCAGGAGTGGAGCCCAGAAACATCATTGATTAGAAAGGAAGGAAACAGGACAGTGAGCTTGCAAAATGGTTAATGTTTAGCTTGTGCCAGACTAGGTGAGCAGTGGGAACCTGTAACTGGCTTAATCAGTTCAGGGTCTGTACTCTGAGCATCTTCTACAACTGTAAAAAAAAAGAATTTACATGCTTGAATCCCATTCTCTGTTGATCAGAAGTGGTGGTGGTGGTACAGTGCCTTGGGGAGGGAGAATAGAATTCTTAGTGTAAAACAAAACAAAACAAAAAACTGCAAAAAAATCCTTAATGTTTTCGGTTGTAACCCAAACATAGAGGAATATAAAGAAGTGGGAAATGCTACAGTATGCTTGCTTATGCTCAAAGTCATAATTGCAACAATGCAACTTTGCTTTTTATAGCACCTGCCTCCAAAGCCAATAATATTTTATGCTCATCATAATACCCTGTAGCCATCAAGAGAAATATGGTAGATAGTTATGTTAGGGATGAGCAGATTTTAAGACTTGGGATAAGCCTGGCAGTTGATGGTCTACACCTTTAATCCTAGCACCCAGGACTATAAGTTGAGGCTATTGTGGTCTACAGAGCAAGATCCAGGACAACCAGGGCTGTTAAACAGAGAAACCCTGTCAGGAAAAAACAAAAATAAAAAACAATTCAATACTTATCTGAAATGCAAATTTAACTGGGCATTCTATGTTTCTTCTGGCAAGCCTGCCATATATCTTTGTGTTTTACTTAACCTTTTATTTGCTAATTGTATGGTATTTTTGAAGTTAAAAAAAAATGGTGTATGTGTGTGTCTTTGTGTATCTGTGTCTGTTAGTGCATGTGCCCAGATTCTCTGGAGCTGCGGTTTCAGGAAGTAGAGAGCCAACTGATATAAGTGCTAGAAACTGAACTTGGGTCCTCTGTAGGAGCAGTATGAGTTCTTAGCCACTGAGCCATCTCTCTAGCCCCTAATTGTATGTTTTTTTAAAAAATAAAAAGTCATAGTTTTCTTTCCAGACTGCATAAGAGGTGTTTGAGAGATGGCTCAGCAGTTAAGAGCATTTGCTGTTCTCTCAGAGGACCCAGATTCAATTTCCAGCACCCAAATGGCATCTCCAACTGTGTGTTAACTCTAGTTCCAGGGGAATCCAATGACCTCATACATGTGGTGAATAGACATACAAGCAGTGTGTGTGTGTGTGTGTGTGTGTGTGTGTGTGTGTGTGTGTGTGTATTTTTAAAGACTGGGCCTTGTGGTACACGGGGAGGCAGAATCAGGCAGATCTTTGTGAGTTTCAAGGCCAGCCTGGTCCTGAGTTCCAGGATTGCCAGAGCTACACACAGAGAAACCCTCAAAACAGACAAACAAAATGATGCTATTATGTCCTGTTTGTGTGTGCAGGTTACCTTCAGAAGCAACCCTACTTTGGAGCAGTGGTTGGGAGGGTAGCCAATCGAATTGCCAAAGGAAGATTCACAGTGGATGGGAAGGAGTACCATCTGCCCATCAACAAAGAGCCCAACAGTCTCCATGGAGGATTCAGAGGGTTTGATAAGGTGAGTTGAGCATGTGACAGGGTCTCTCTTGGCATGCTTCAAAGTCCCCTCAAGCGTGTATTTGCCAGTCTTAATCCCAGCCCCAGGAACACTTATGTGGTGGAGGGATCCAGGAGTTTGCTGGTTCCTAACTTTGACAGCCTTGGACTCAGGAAAACATGGCTTACACAGTGTTAGCCTCAGGGAACTGAGTTTCAGAGACATGGATTAATGATTATTCCTACCCACTTACTGCACAGGTATTTGCATCTGTTTTCTCTAGTCCTTCTTAAAACTGTGCATGATCGGGCTGGAGAGATGGCTCAGAGGTTAAGAGTACGGGCTGCTCTTCCTGAGGTCCTGAGTTCAATTCCCAGCAACCACATGGTGGCTCACAATCATCTATAATGAGATCTGGTGCCCTCTTCTGGCCTGCAGGCCTATATACAGACAGCATGCTATATACATAATAAATAAATAAATCTTAAAAAAAAAAAGAAAGAAAGAAACAACTATGCATGATCACCAAATGTGACTGCCGAGGCCCCAAAAGGCTACACATCTCCTAGTAGGATAGCAGGGCCTGCTTGGCCCCAATCCCTCACTCCTACACATAAGTACTTGTGTCCTCCAGTGTACACAATCCAACACACCTCCTTGTATCTGTCCTTAGTCCCCTCCCCCATGCATAGTGTGCACCATACCTGGGTCTACCCTTCCACTGCTTTGTTCCCCAAAGTTAGCTCAGGTTGTCTCCAGGTCCCCTTTCTAAACAAGCACTCCCAAATCCCTGGGAAACGAAGTCAGGAAGGCAAGTGGACCAAGCAGTTTCAATGTGGTGTTCAAACCCTGCCTTGTGCTTCCCAGCCCTGCTGTGAGGCACAGGGTCAGCTCAGCAACTCTGACCAGTCTTGTTCTGGGCTGCGAGAGAGAAAACTGCAGAGGTAACTTTCCTTTGGGCCATGCAGCTTAGGTTACTTCCTATACTCTAGCCAGAGAGGATGAGGACGTAGGTGGCAGTTAAAAGCCGCTGCTTCTTCTCTTTTGAAGGAAGTTGGTTGCTCTCTGTTTCCCCCACTTCTGTTAGCAGCTTCCTGTCCTAGAACCAGACTACCTGTTGGTTCCCTTTCCTCAGCAAGGTACTTCTCACACTAGGAAGAGCAGACTGTAGAGGGAAGTGTCAGTTCCACCAGTGCTAGGGCTGAGGATTTCTACAAGATGCCAGGTTCGTGCGCAAACCTCAACCCAGAGGAAGCTGGACAGGCCTTAGTTGGGACAGGGATCTTCAGAGGGGCCTCAAAACAGCAACTTGTTTTATCTACCTGTTCTTCCTTTTTCTGTATTTTCTGTGATATTCATTAACACATATTCATTCCCTTTTTGAACACTAGTAGTAAGTGCATAGCTGTCTGCCTCTCCCCCTTTTTTCCTTACAGGATCCCATGATGGCCTTGAGCTGGCTGTGGATAATCGTCAATTTATTATCCTCCTTTCTCTAGCTCCCCATTGCTGGGATTGTTAATTTGTTTGTTTTTTAAAGATTTATTTTCTTATTTGTGTGTGAGTGTGCATATCTCTGTCTCTCTCTCTCTCTCTCTCTCTCTCTCTCTCTCTCTCTCTGTGTGTGTGTGTGTGTGTGTGTGTGTGTGTGTGTGTGTGTGTGTGTGTGTGTACACACGTGTGAGCAGTTACTTAAAGGAGGCCAGAGAGGGTATTGGGTTTCTGGAGCTACAGTTATGTCTGTTGTGAGCTGCAAGATGTGGGTACTGGAAACCAAACTTGGGCACTGTGCAAGAGCATCCAGCACTCTTAGCTGCTCAACTACCTCTCCAGTCCAGGAATCACAGTGTTATGTGATGAACCCAGAGCTTCCGGCATCCAAATTAGCTCACATTTCTGGCAGCTGGAAGTTTAAAAGCATGGCACCAGCTTTTTGTTTTATTCTACATGCAAGCTCTTTCTCCCTTTGCTTCATCCTAACATGGAGGAGGCCTCTTAGAATAATGGTGACAGCTCAGGTCTTTCTTCCTCTTATTATAATAGCATCATGGGGACTGGGCTGTGCTTGTTATCACGGCCTCATCTAACTCTAATATCCCCTTAGGTGTGCCTCAGGTAGCCTTACCATGAATTTGAGAAACAAGTTCCCGACAGACAAAACTTTTGGGCAACACATTCCAATGTTGGCAGTGTCCTTTATTGGAGCGAGTCCCTTCTGTGCTCCTGAGGTTCCAAGGATGGCCCCTTCCATAACTGGAATAGGAGCACTGCAGCAACACAGATGTGAACAGTGTGCTGTGGGAGGTGAGGGGTGGTGGGATTTGAACTGCCCTTGAGGAGCAGATAGCATCCATCTGTCTGTGGATAGTCCAGAGAATGACTGTGGTGGGAAAGACTTGGCTTTTTTTGAACCATTGAAGTTTGGGGCGGAAAGTTTTAATACAGTAACATGAGTAGCATTGTTGAACTTGATGCTTTATTCTTCATTTGATCTCAACAATAAATGAATAATTTAGTTTGTAGATAATGTGCTTTTTCTATTTACATTAACACTGTTTTTTAATGAAAGTTGAGTCCTGACATTTCTAGAAATAGTACAAGAAATACTAAAGATGTGAGATTTCTGGAAATGTGGAAACTCAGGGTCAGGAAACCCTTCCCATGGATAGGAATTGCACTTAGCTGAGGAAAATAAAAATATTTCCATTGTGCCCTTTTTCTAAAGGTCAAAAATCTAGGTGGCAAGGCAAAAACATTTTTATTTCAAACATTTAATTCCTAAAATTTTCCATCTGAGGATTTTTTTTCCTTAAAATTACAAGTGTAACAAGTGCCTTAATTTTTAAAAAAATTCATTTGTGTTGAATGCATATGTGTGCTTATCTGTGTGTATATATATCTTTGTATGTGTGTGCTCATGTATATATCTGTGTCCATGTGTATGTGTGCTTGTGCATGCTTGTGTGTATGTGCTTGTGTGTGTGTGTTCGTATGTGTTCATGTGTGTGTATCTGTGTGTCCATGTGTGCGTACACTCATGCACACTGTGTATGTGTGTGTGTGTTTGTGTGTATGTGTGTGTGTGGTTGGTTGGTTGGTTATTTTTACTCTTTGCTCTTTGTTGGTCCTCCACCCAGCTTAAAATAAGACTTATTTTTTTAATCTTTTTTTTATTAATTTATTTTTTATATTCTAATCCCAGTTTCTGTTCCCTCCTCTCCTCCCACTCTCCCGTTTCTGTCCCCCCCCCCCCCCCCCCCCCCCCCCCCCCCCCCCCCCCCCAACTCCCATCTGCTCCTCAGAGAGGGTAAGGCCTCCCTTAGGAAATCTACTAAGTTTTTCCCATCATCTCGTTGAGGCAGGACCAATGCACCTCTTCACCCCCACACCCTTGTGTCTAGGCTGAGCAAATGAGACTTATTCTTATTTATGAATGTCTGTCCTTAGCTTTGCTTGTTTCTAGCCAATCTTAAATTGTTCCATCTGCCTTTTGCCACTGGGCATTTACCTTTCTCTGTTCTATATACCTGTCTTTCCTTCTTACTCCATGCCTGGTTGTGTAACTAGGTGGCTGAATCCTGACATCCTCCTCTCCTCCTTTTCTCCCTCCTATTTATTCTTTCTGCCTGGCAGCCCTCCCTGTCCCTCTCCTGACTATTGGTCGTTCAGCTCTTCATTAGACCCCTCAGGTGTTTTAGGCATGTAAAGTAACACAGCTTTACAGAGTTAAACAAATGCAACATAAAAGGATGCTGTTCTACAGAATAAAAGAATGTAACACATCTAACAAATATTCCACATCATGCGTGTCTGTATGTGTGCTGTTCGTGTGGAGGTCATAGGACAACTTTTAGAAATCCATTTTCCCCTCCCACTGTGGGTTCTAGGAGTGGAACTCAGGTTGTCAGGCTTGCATGCAAATGCTATTGCCCACGGAGCCATCCTGCCATGCAAATACTATTGCCCACAGACCTGTTTTGCCACCCCAGGCTTCCTTTTTGATTTGTTATTTTATTATACATCCATGACTGTTTAGCCTGCATGTATGTCTGTGCCCTGCATGCCTGGAATTACGGATGGTTGTGAGCCTTGGTGGGTTCTGGGAATGAACTTGGGCCCTCTGCAAGAGCAACAAGTATTCTTTTTTTTTTCTCTTTTTATTATTATTATTATTATTATTATTATTATTATTATTATTAATTCAAGTTAGGGAACAGGCTTGTTTCACGTGTACTTCCCCTCTCCCTCTTCCTCCCCTCACCCCCATTCCTTCTCCCCCAGCAACAAGTATTCTTAAACACTGCGACAACTCTGCAGCCCCTAGGCCTCCCATTTTAAATGCCTTGAAAGTTCACCATTTCTGGGAGTTAACCGGGTATCATCTGATCTCAGTGCGTTTGTTCTCGATGCAGCTGCTTTCACCTTGGGAATGCAGAGGCCTTTGTCCCTCTGGGCTCCCCTTCCTGTAAGATGCACACTGTATGAGAGCGAGTCCTGGTGGGGCTGAGTAAACAATACCTGGCCTCAGGGGCTGTTCCTCTGGTCTAACAGGGTTTTCTTTTCTTTTTTTTTTTTTGGAGGGGGGGTGTTGGTGTTTTTCAAGACAGGGTTTCTCTGTGGCTTTGGAGGCTGTCCTGGAAGGCTGGTCTCGAACTCACAGAGACCCGCCTGCCTCTGCCTCCGAGTGCTGGGATTAAAGGCATGCGCCACCACCACCTGGCTAGGTTTTTAATTTTTAACTTAACTGTTCTGTTAAAAATGGAGATTTGGCCAGTTACGCATGCCAGGAGGAAATGCTGAAGAGGGAGAAGCAACAGATCACAAGCTAACAACAGTCTAAACTTAAACCTCTACACCTGGTCCTTAAAAGAAAGGCTATTTGGGCTGCTGAGGTGGCTGGATGGTTAAGCATAATTGCTGCAGCTTGTGGGGCATAATGATGCACACTCCTTTAATCCCAGCATTCGGGTGGCAGAGGCAGGTAGATCTCAGTGAGTTCAAGGCCAGCCTGGTCTACAAAGTGAGTTCCAGGACAGCCAGGACTACATAGAGAGATCCTGATTGGTTTTGTTTGTTTGTTTGTTTCTTTGTTTTTAAAAAGAATACTTGTTGCTCTTCAAGAGGATCCAAGTTTAGTTCCCAGCACTAAGTCAGACAGCTCATAACTGCCTTTAACTCCAGCTCCAGGAGATCTGACACCCTCTTCTGGGCTCCACAGGCACATTATTCATCTACCCCACACAGACACACATTTTTTAAAAAATAATCTTTTTGTTTGTTTGCTTTTTGTTTTTTTGAGACAGCATTTCTCTGTGTAGCCCTGTCCATCCTGGAACTCACTTTGTAGACCAGGCTGGCCTTGAACTCAGAGATTAGCCTGCCTCTGCCTCCAGAGTGCTGGGATTAAAGGCGTGCTCCACCACTGCCTAGCAATAAATATTTTTAAATGTAAATTTAAAGAACACATTTACTGAAACCAAAATATGCATTGGCAGCTAGACTTAAGTTTGAATCCTAGTTCTAGCACTCATTATAGGGTTGATTTTTTTTTTTTTTTGGTTTTTCGAGACAGGGTTTCTCTGTGTAGCTTTGGAGCCTATCCTGGCACTCGCTCTGAAGACCAGGCTGGCCTCGAACTCACAGAGATCCACCTGCCTCTGCCCCCCAAGTGCTGGGATTAAAGGCGTGCACCGCCACCGCCCAGCTATAGGGTTGATTTTTAAGCAAGGTTCCACCCTCACCTCCCTTTAAATCATGAAGTATTCTTGGATAGAAGCAGGCAACCTGACTCCATTGAACTCAGGACCTAGATAACAAAATTAGTTGGTGCTGTGAGAAATGGTCAGGGCTCAACTGTTGACCTACGCCTGGTTGAACCAAATCCTTTACTGAAGGTGGCTTATGGAAAATAGATACTCAACCAAGGAACATTCAGCTAATAGAAGTTCTTTTACTTCAGCCCTTTGCTAGCTATTCCAAACTTCACAGGAATGAGACTGGCCAATTCATTCTAATATTTGTAGGACAAGGGAGTAGGAACATGCTCTGACTCAGGTCCATTGTTGCTGTCCAGGTAGTCTATGGTGAACAGTTTATCCACTTGAGGAATTTCTTTTTCTTTTTTAAAAATGACACATGTGCTGGATGGTGGTGGCACACGCCTTTAATCCCAGCACTGGGGAGACAGAGGCAGGCAGATCTCAGTGAGTTCAAGACCAGCCTGATCTACAATGCGAATTCTGGGACAGCCAGGACTGTTACATTGAGAAACCCTGCCTTGGGAGTGGAGGGTACGGGGACAACACTTGACATGACACCATATGTAACAGAGTTCCTTTTCTTCTGAGCTTCAGTTCTCCAGTCATTGAATAGCAGTGCCTCCTATGAGTCTACTCCAAGACAAAGAGAGGGCCCTGAGTGTGGCTCATAATGAGCACTTGATAAATGTTTCCTGTTTCCATTTGCAAAAGTGCTTTTGGAGAAAGTCTCCATAGTTCTTATCTGTTCTTAGCATCATGTTTGCTAGAATAAGAAGACCTCTTCAGGATAACTTTTTCAGTACCTCTATTTTAGGGAAAGGTTGGTGCCCAAAGCTACACACTGAGCAAGAGACACCCTAATTCCTAATCCAGAACAACTGACTTATGGGTTGCAACTCTTCCAAATGGAATAAACATGCTAGCTATTTGCTTTAAACCCTGCCCAGGGAGCATGGCCAACCTCAGAGTATTTAGAATAAATATTTACAAACGTGCTGGGGGTGTAGCTCAGTGGGAGAGGACTTTCCTAACATGTGCAAAGCCCTGGCTTCTAACACCTTTAATCCCAGCACTCAGCAGACAGAGGCAAGTGGATCTGTGGAAGTTCAAGGCCAGCCTGGTCTACAGAGTGAGTTCCACAACAGGCTCCAAAACTACAGAGAAACCCTGTCTCAAAAGACAAATAAATAAGTAATTAGATGTCTATACATAGTAGTAGTAGTTGATTAAGTTTTTGTTTTTGAAGATAGTATCTCATGCAGCCCAGACTAGTCTGGAACTCCCTAAATGCTGAGGATAACCTTGAAACTTTTTTTTTTTTTTTTTGGTTTTTCAAGACAGGGTTTCTCTGTGGCTTTGGAGGCTGTCCTGGAACTCGCTCTTGTAGACCAGGCTGGTCTGGAACTCACAGAGATCCTCTGCCCCTGCCTCTCGAGTGCTGGGACTAAAGGCAGTGAGCCACCACTGCCCGGCCCCTTGAAACTCTTGATTCTCCTGCCTACCAAATGTTGAGGCTAGAGTCAAGCACTACCGTTCCAGGACTTGTGTGGTTCTAGAAATTGAATCCAGGGTTTTATGCATGGTGGGCAAGCACTCTGTCAAATGAGCTGAATTCCTGGTCCCAAGGTTATCTTTAAATAGTATAAGTAGGTTTTGATGTCTTATATTTGTCAGACTGGAACTCTAAGATTAAAGTACATGTCAAAGGAAGGAGGTGGTGGCACATACCTTTGGTCCAAGACATCATGAGGCAGAGGCAGGCAAGTCTCTGAGTTTGAGGCCAACCTGGTCTACGAACTGAGTTCCAATCAAAAGGAAAACAGACACATAAATGCATAAATATAAAGTCAAGAGGAGAAGAAAATATAGGGCGTGCAAGTAGATAAGGAGGAAAATATTTTCCCTCAAGAGCCATCTTCCTGCATAAAATAGTTTTAGATGAGCAAAGTTCCAGGCTATTATTCAAAAGTCTTTATCTCTGCATAACCGTCTCCTTTTCTAGGTCTGTACTCTTTAAATATTGAAATGTGGCATTTTGGTGGGGACTGGAGTGACTAAGCAGCTTTAAACCCTTCTTCTCAGGTCCTCTGGACCCCTCAGGTGTTGTCCAACGGTGTCCAGTTCTCTCGAGTCAGTCCAGACGGAGAGGAAGGCTACCCTGGAGAGCTGAAAGTCTGGGTGACGTATACCCTGGATGGTGGAGAGCTTGTAATCAACTACAGAGCACAGGCCAGCCAGACCACACCGGTTAATCTGACCAACCACTCTTACTTCAACTTAGCAGGCCAGGTAAGTGAACTTTCTTCTCTCCTGTAAGCAGAGTGCTGGAGGGATGGCCAAGGGATGTGGCTGGAGAGACCAGCCCATAATGGAGAGGAACTCATGCCCTTGGTGATGAAAATGATCCTAGCAGAGTCCCTGGCTTTATTTATTTATTACTTTTTTTTATTTGAATTACAAACAAGATTGAATTACATGCCAATCCCAGTTCCCTTCTCCCTCCCGTCCTCCCCTACCACCCCCAACTAAAACCCTACCTAT